CCACTCGGCTTTCTCTTGCAAATGAGTATCCAATGTGACGGGGTCATCTTCCCAATTGGCCGACAGCAAGTATCAAATACAGAAATATTTTTAACAATACGATCTTCATCGTCTATCTAATTTCTGGCCAGTCGGTTAAACCGTGTTTCAACTCCAGTTAAATACAACGAACAAAAAGTCAGAGCTTCGTTCATAATGTATGCCTCAGCAATCGAACCCTCAGGACGTGCATGATTCTTGACATATTTCTTTAACGATCCAAGAAAACGTTCAAACGGATACATCCATCTTAAGTGAACTGGTCCTCCTCGAATGGCTTCTTCAGGCAAGTGTATAACTAAATGTACCATTATGTCAAAAAAGACAGGAGGAAAAATTGTTTCTAACTTGCATAAAATAAGCACAATATCTTGTTGAGCTTTCTATAAATCACTTTTTCGAAATGTCCTTGAGCATATTAACTTGAAAAAATTACTTAATTCTGTTATTGCATCAACGATCTCTTTCTTCATGAATGGTCGTATCCCTGTTGGCAATAATCGCTGCATTATGATGTGACAATCATGTGATTTTAGCCCAGTAATTTTATTCTTCCCTTCGATCACATTTTTCTTTAAATTTGAAGCAAATCCATCAGGAAACCTTACTGATTTTAATAAATCACAAAACTTTTTACTGTCATCGGGAGATAGTGTATAAGACGCATGTGGTTTCATCCAACGATCACCGTCTTTGTACAAATGTAACTCCTTGTGCACCCTTATATTTTGCAGATCGATTCTCGCCTAATCTGTATCCTTACCTTTTCTATCAATGTCTATAATTGTGCCTAATAAACTGTCGCATACATTCTTCTCAATATGCATAACATCTAAGTTGTGACGTAACGACAATGACTTTCAATAAGGCAACTCCCAAAAGATATTCTTCTTTGTCCAATTAAGTTCGCTTGCATGTCTTTTCTGCTTCTTACCACCATACTTTTCATGTTTACCAGGCAATCGGAAGGACACATTTTGTAACTGAGCTAAGATTTGGTGAACAGATTTTTGAGCCGGTGGAGGTCGTTTCTCAACCATACCATCAAACTTTTTATTTTTTCTCATCCCATGTTTAATAGGAAGCCATTGCCGATGGCCAACAAAACAAGTCTTACTTGTTATCCTCTTTGAAGGAGTTGCATCGTTGCAAGTTGGGCATGCTAAATAGCCCTGACCACTCCATCCAGATAAACTACTAAGAGCAGGAAATCATTAACAGTCATGAGCAACATAGCTCGCATCTGAAATGATGTATTTGAAACTACGTCACATACAATTACTCCTTCATTCCACAAATCTTTTAGCTCATCCACAAGGGGCCTTAAAAAGACATCCATATCCTTTCCGGGTGCATTTGGGTCAGGAATCAACAATGTCAACATCTTATAAGGATCCTTAGTGCATAACCACGGAGGTAAATTGTAGGCCGTTAAAACCACCGGCCACATACTGTATGAGAGGCTCATGTTCCCAAAAGGATTGAAACCATCAGCGGCCAACCCCAAGCGAACATTTCTCGGTTGACGTGAAAACTCAGGATACTTTTCATCTACCTCCTTCCATTCAATACCATCGACTAGATGACACATTAAATCCTCATCATTTGAACATCCACGTTGGTGCCACATCATATCTTTAGCTGTGTGACGAGAACCGTACAGACGCTTCAACCAATCTGTTAACGGGAAATAACGTAGTACTTTCCACGAGACTTGTTTAGTACCCTTTGTCCTTTTTTTTTCTTCCAAAGGGATGTTTTACATACAGGACACGTTTGTAGATCAGCGTTCTCCTTCCAAAACAAAGCACAATCGTACTTGCAGACATGAATTGTTTCATAACCCAATCCAAGTTTACTTATGAGCTTCTTCGACTCATAATGAGAAGAAGGTAACTTTACATCTGGAAATGCATCTTTCAATATACTTAAGACAACATCCATACACTTATTAGGCCACTTGTATAACACTTTTAAATGCATCAATTTCACTAAAAAATTTAAAGATGAATACTTAGCGCAGCCCGGATACAATCCCACCTAGAGCTCAGAAAGTAGATTCTTAAATTCAGCGTACTGTGCATCTTCTAGATCCACATGCGTCTCATCCAACATTCCATGGTCATCATTAATCCCAGCAACATCTTCTAAGACTACAAACATCTCGTCCACTGGTTGATTAACTATTGGGTCTACACCTGAAACCGCTTCTACTTCACCATGGTGAATCCATGTTCTATACAATGGATCAAAACCAAATCGATGTATATGTGCTCTCACAGTTTCTACTAGATGCATTTCATGGTTTCTACATTTCATACAAGGACAGCTGATATGGCCAATTGAAGTTGTAGAATTTTTGGCGACCTCAATAAAAGTAGATAACTCATTCCAATATTCATCCAACAATCGGTTCCTCAAATAAGTCCAACTTTTGTCAATCGGCATTTAAACTATAAACAACAACAGACATAACAATTTATTAATGTGTTTAATTAATTTTAATTTTACTCTTAATTAACACAATTAAGTTTTATTAATTAAAGTGTGTTAATGAACTTATTAAAATTCTGGTTTTCTAACTAAATTTCGGCAGCATAACGATTTATTTTTCATATAATCCAAAAATCAAAACCTGCAGAAAAATAACTTTAAAAGATTTCGGCACACCATAGCTGCAAGATGTGCCACCCAGAACAAGAATCATAAACATATACTAAATTTTAACAATATAACAAAATCATAATTCAAATATTGTCATCATAATCCCGAATTCATACAACTACTACAATTTTAAACTAAATAAATATAAAAAACTTACAAAGTTCAAACCTACTAAATGGGGGCTAAAAATAGAAGGATTACGTTGGAGGAACCGTGCAAACAAGGACGAAGGCGAAAAATCAAACACCTACTCAAACGCTGGCCTACATCAAATTAAAACATCAAACATAATTTTCAAACACCAAAATTAACATTTTATTAACATCTAGAGTAACATATAGACACAATGAAAGTTTAAAAAATATTATGGGCTTGATCCGCTTGTATAAAAAAAAGGGCTACAGTAAAAAAAACGTAAAAAAGAATGAATACTTTACTTTTTTATAGTTTTAAATTTGATACACAAACAAATTAATTGCTTATTCATAAAAAGTTTTGCATTAAGATTAATATTAAATGTTCTCATATGTCTCTCACATTGATATTCAATGAGAGTTTAATCTCAACAGAATTGTTACTAATTAATGAGTCATATGTTGATCTATATGATGCATATAAATAGAAAATATTGATCAATAAAGTTAAATTTAAATTAACGAATATGAAAATTTAAGCAATCACTCGAAAATATACGAAGATAATTATCTAAAGTCCGGTCTAATTTGACGAAGCTTAATAATTTATGAAAGGCTACGACTACAAATTCTAGAAAAAAAAAATGCTATGCTCTTCATGCTCGAATCTAGTTCTAAGTATAATCTAGTTCTAAGTATAATGCTTAGGAAATGATTCTAAGTTATAAGTATAATCTAGTTCTAATAACTTGTTATTATGAATGCAATTCGTCACCAGAATTGTTTTAAGAAAAAAAAAAACTCACCTCTATGCAATCCTGGCGGGGGGTAGCGCAGCGGGACTGGGGCGGCGGGACCGGGGTGGCGGGAGCAGGACGGCAGTGCGGCGGCAGCGGCAGGAAAGGGAAAGAAGAGAGAGAGGGAGAAGGGAAGAGAGAGAAAGAACGGAAGAGAGACAAGGGGAGAGAGGGGAGAGAGAAGGGAAGAGAGAGAAGGAGGGGCCGGCGGCGGGGGCGGCGACGGTAAGAGGAGGCAGAGAGAGAGATATTGCAGGAGAGAGAGAGAGAGAGATTTGCAGGAGAGAGAGAGAGAGAGCGTCAGGAGAAAATGAAGAAGAAGAATATGGGTATATTAGGTTAGAGTTATTTGTGACGACATATTCGTCGCAAATAAATTTAAAATGTCATCGCTAATACTAAAATATTTTCGACGACATTGTCGTCGCAAATTAATATAAATGTCGTCACAAATACTAAAAATATTTGCGACGATATTTTCTCGCCGCAAATATTTTAAAGTCGTTGCAACTAATGATTTTTTCCCGCGCCTACTTTATCGTCAAATCAGATTATTTGCGATGACAGTAAAATAATGTCGTCGCAAATAGGGTAAAACTATTTACGATGATAAATGTCGTTGCAAATAGTGACGACTTGTCGTCGCAAAAAAAGAATTACCTTGGCGCCAAAAATCCGCGCCATTGAAATTTGTGCGCCAACATTATTTGCGACGACATTGAAGTTATTAGCGACGACATGGTTATTTTATTTAACGGTAGGTATTTGCGACGACATGTCGTCGCAAATAGAGTATTATTTGCGACGAAAAATGTTGTCGCAAATGGGCTTAATTGTTGTAGTGAAAATGGAAATCCGAGAGGCTTTTTGAAAGAGAAGAATTTAAATTAGTGAAACCTTCGGTTGAATTTTTTTTTTCTGAAAGTCCGTAATATCTCATAAAAGGAAGGTACATGACGTCCATGCATGTATATGATTGAGGGACTTTTTTTTTGTTTTCAACATAATTCCTCAGAATATAGTTATTCTTATTAGATAAACTGCAAATTAAATGTTTCAAAGCAGCAACATAAACTAAATAAAATAAAACAATCCAATAGAGGGATAGAGTAGAGCCTGAACGAAAATTAAGAAATCTACATAGTAAGATTAACCCACTTGAATTATTAAAAATTCTAAATACAAGACTGAACTCGGATAAAGAAGTGATATAGGCGAAGCTTCATTCCCATCTAATCTTGGAAATTTGGAATTGTATAGTTACCAATTTCTCTATGTATAATAGCTGGATATATAGATGAACTTTCATATATAGTTATTTATTTAATTTCCACACGTACTAGTTTTAAACTCATCCAATTTCCAACTATTTTAGTGAAAATTTTGGCCAAGGGAAAAAAATATCTTCAATCCCCTTTGCCTCCGTGTAGCCGTGGACGCCATCTCTCTTGACTCTCCAATTGCAATTCGTTTGACATCTGGCCTCGTCCCTTTCCGCGTCAAAGATAGTGAACGTCCCCGTTGCCTCGAGGGAAGTAAGGCCACAAAAGAACAAAGTAGTACCCATGTAATTTACTCGGAATTTCCAGTCGTAGGATTGGCTGTTGGCCAGATTATGGGGCCCTAGATCGTCGTCCTTGGACTTGCAGTGAACTGATAGTTGCGTCCCATCTTCGAGGTTGTTGTAAATTCTGACGGTCGTCCGCGGCGGCTCAAATATGTTATCTGGCTCACTTCCATTATTATTTGTCTGGACACGATCATCAACAGTAGATGCCTCAATCGAGGATATCATGAGAAGTAACGAAAAGTAAGGAAAGGTTTGTTTTCCAGACTGAATATTCATGATTGTTAAAACTAGGTTTTGGAGTACTACTGGTTGGTGTGTGTGGTTTGAGGCGAGAATATGAGCAAAACTATCTTATGTATAGGCGCTTCTGGTCCTCAAATTAGTGCAAGAAATTGTTAGGAAAGGGCACCAAATCAGGGAAGGTGAATATATATGAATGAAATGCTTCCATAAAACACAAATATTGAGGGATTACATCCGCTAAAATTAAGCAATGTGTGACGTATCAATGAGATTACATCCACCGTTAGCTGACTTTTAATTTACATTTATGTTTTGATGTAATTTTGTGTGTGTGTGTGTGTGTTTTTTTTTTTTTTGGTTTTTTGTTTTTGTTTTTGTGTTTTTTTTGTGTTTTTTTTGTTTTTGTTTTTGTTTTTTAAGAACTTGGTGCCATTTTCAATACACGAAGCAATATGTTTTTTGTTGTTTAAGAATATTCTTCATTAATTTGCGTTGACGAAATCATGATGTTGTTGGTTCCACGTACTTGTAAAAGCTTTTGGTGATTAATTAAAGCCAATAAGTGAAATGTCGTTTTTGGTTTGGATCATTCCAAAATGATAGATTTTAAAGGACTCATCATTCCCTTATGCAAGATGGAACGAATATAAGTTGAAATCAAAACAAAAATATTTTGTTCTTTCCTTTTTTTTCTTTCAAAAACCAATAGTGAAAATAAAAAGTACACTGCTCGTCGCAACCAAATGTCGCTGGTTTTTTTCATCATTAAAACAGAATGAAATTGGTTAAACAAATGACACGTAGTTTATCTTTTTCATCATCTCTACCACATTGTGTTTTTCCTTTTTGTCGTCTAAACTAAGGCCTCATTTGTTTGGTTAATTTGAGTTAAAAAGTGAATTTATATGAAAAAAAATATTATAATACCAAAAATTAACTTTGAATTTCTCGTGAGAAAAAACACAATAGTAAAAACTTGAGTTAGAATTCGAACCAACAAAACGAATTACATGGCCTGAGTCATTTGATTGAAATCACGTTGTTTATCGAATATGCGTCCTCTTAGAGAAAAATACATAGTTTGCTATGATTTTATGAAAACCTATTATTTAGAGACAAAACTAAAAATGCCATCATTAAAGTAACTATTTCATTTTTGTCACTATTGTGAATAGTATCCTAGAAGCATGAGATGTAATAAGATATTTATTATTTGTAATAAAAGAGTTTATTCATTATTTTATGTGCACATATTAATGAATATTTTTTAATATCAGTGAAAATTTCATGATTATTTATGTGACTTAAATATTGTATATAAGTATTATATGCGAGAAGATAATATTTAAGAATAATAATCAAAATGATGTTCGTAATGAATTTAATTAAAGTTCAGAATCCTTAATTAAAACATTACTAATACATGTCATTCTCATTTAGAAAAGAACGGTGTTATCCGCACTGTTAATATGGCATGATACTGAATGAGTGTATTACACATAATGAGATTATATGGAACAGGAACACATACACAATATGAATTTATGATAATTTCTGTTAAGTATAGAAATTCTAATGAAGTCTACTAATGGTCATATATAAAATGATCTTATGTTGGAAAATAATAAAAAAAGGGCATCGAGTGTGCATTGGAATTTTTAAACAATTTAAATCAATGCCAAAGCCAAACAAGAACATGTTCATGATGTTATATAATATAAATACAAAATATCTAAAACATACCTTTAGAGATTATGGAAACAACATGTCTAATAGATCAAAGCGTTCCAAATCGCAACCGGAAGAGCCTCAACCAACTAGTCTTCTTTGCTATTCTCATTTCTGCTATCAGAGTGTGAGTGGGCACACGTTGTTCAATCTCCCCATGATATTCTTGAACTCCTTCCAACCACAAGAAAGCTAAAAGAAAAATCGTTCTTAAGAATTGAACAATTTTTCCTCTCAGGAATATTTTACCAATAGCCCCTAAAAAGTCTCTCAAGTGAGCTATATAATAATGTGACTTACCGGGCTATTTATAGTGTTTAGGAAGTCATATTCCCGCAACAATTAGGTTTCCCAAAGCTTATCTCACGTATAGAGTCAGTTTTGCCACGTCAGCCCTCGCTACGCATAGGCACTGGTCGACCGGTGGCAGAGTAGTTATAATCCACCGGTCGACTGCGCATCACATACCAGTCGCCCGGTGTATATTGACTGGACTACCCACCGGTTGACCAGTACCATTACGGGAAACTTGTTTCTTGGACTTTTCAATATGAAAAACTTACACAGGGCCTCATTTTTTATTCAAGCAACCCAATAGCGAAGTTACATGATCAAAACAGTCATATAATAGTCTTCACATATAAAATAACACCCAAAACAATAATTCAATAATTTACCTCGAATTAATTTATTAATTAATTCACCAAATAAATTACTCATGACTTAATCAACCAATCTCTTAATTAACTTTTAACCTTATTATGGAAAGAACACAAGTTATTAATATGTAAGATATACATCGTATCCTTACAGAAAATTATATGTGCTAGCAAAGGGACCCGTGTTGGTTTCCGAAACGATTTCGGATGCGGAAGCGTGAGAATAGCGGATCGTGTATAACAAAAATTTTCATAAAACCTTTGAGATACTCTATAGATTATATTATTTATGCACGAATAAATTAATCATATTAATTTCATTACCAAGAACCGGATTAGGAATTATACCTAGCAGCCGATTAGAATGATATCTTTTGTTCTTTGACCACGAACGTTCCTTGCTCCAATGCTAGTTTAGAACACCTGAATCTTCCTTGTCAATTCCTAGAATCCACGAGCACGTATTTGTGAGCACACCTGAGACAAAATAGGATTAGCAATAAAACACTCAAATTTTTCACGAACACCAACACATGCACGACGTGAAATTTTTTGAAGAAAATTTTTCCTTCCCACTCTATGAATATTCGGCCACTATTTTTTGAGAGAGAAAAATTGTGTCTCACAATTTTCTACAATCTCTTATTTATAGAGTAGTAGTCAGACTCTCAGAAGGAGTCTAATCTTTTTCTCCAAGATAAAGCTTATCAATTATCCCACGTTTGAATTTTAAACAAAATTCTCCCTTCCCTTATCTTTTAATGGCCGGCCACCATAGGGAGAAATCCTCCCTGTGGTAGGCTATCACAACATGAAGAATTAAATAGGTTTAATTATGCTAACTGTGATTTATTAGTGTGCTTAATTTAATTTTCTAAATTAATCAAGAAATTTTAAATTATTATCAGTATTTATAATTCTACCCCGGAAGTATATGGAAAAACATATTTCCATCCTTTTCTTTTAACTATCTTTTAATATTATCTTTTCTTTTCTTTATATTTTCCTTTCTTTCTTCCTTCTCTCGTTTTCTCTCTTTTCTCTCGTCACTCTCTATACCTCTCTTTCTCAGATCTCTCTCTCTTTCTTAGCTCTGTCTCTCTTGATCTCTCCCCTGCTCTGTCTCCCTCACCGTCCCTCTCATTCTCTTTCCTTTTCCTCTCAAAGTTTCACTCTCTCAAAAGGGTGCTTTTGAACCGGACATGAACAAAAAAGGAGATTTCTAAGAAGTTTTCAACATCAAAGTAAAGATCAAGGTAAATACTTTAAAACATCATTCTTGATCTCAGATTTTTCCTTGGTAATCTGGTTTTTGGTTTGGATTTTGATGAAATTTTGATTTAAGTTTGATTTTGGATGGGTTAGTTGAAACCATATTAGAATTTGGGGATTTTTTATTCTTGGAACCTTATTTGATGATTGGAACCTAGTTTTGATGAATCCCCAAGAAATTATCTCAAAATTGTACCCGAAAATGCCCGATTTGGCCTTATTCTTCACAGATCGGCCATTTTTCTTGGTTGGCCTACTTCCCACCGGTAAACTGGGGTAGTCATCCGGTCTCCACTCCACTGGCCGACTGGTGGAGTTGAACTTCTCTGCCACCGGTCCACCAGTGTGCACTTCCCCTGCCTCAGAATGTTCCAAAACCAACCAAATCAACTTCATTTGAGAACTCAAAGTGAGTGGATTAGCCACATTAATCCTTATTCCATTCCAATTCTCTTGTTTGGATTCCAAATTCTCAAAGAATCATAACTTGGGTTAAGAAATTGTTTATGAACTTTGATTTTGAGTCAAGGCACACTAGTATGATACAATTTTACATAATTAAGCTAGATTGTTTTAGAGGAAAGGTTTAAACTCTAAACCATTGTTTTGATGACAAAGCTAGTGACGAGATCGAATATTGAACTTCAAGACAAGTGGGGCAAGGATGACAAGAAGCTAGCCGTCGGATTGGTATCCGAGAGGTAGGATGTTCTTGTCCACATCCTTGCTAGCCTGTTTTAAATGATTTTGGCTTATGAAAATGTTTTAAAGATAAGAATGTATTTGACATCATTGAGATTTAAAGGAGAGTTTTGAGCAATATTTTCTTAAAATGAAATATTTTAAGAAACGGTAACACACTGATGGCCTAGAGATCGGGGTATGGAGATCATATCCTTAAAGGTAGGTCTCGAAACCCGTACGGGCCACTACGGTCGTGATATCATGGTTTGTGAATAAGGTAAGTGATTCATCATAATCTTGTGACTCACTTACTGTAATATGGAATTTTGAGATTTACGCTTATTTCCTCTTTATTAAAAAGGATGTTCATATTCAAATGATATGTTCAAACAATGTACTTCCATTTATTGATTTATTTTTTTTATAAAATCATATCCTACTAGCCCTTTCGCTCACTGTTTATATGTCCCAATGTATTTAAACCCCTCCCAGGCGACGCTAGGAGTAGTGCCGAGTAGACGGTGACTATCGGTGAGGTGAGTAATACGTGAAGAGGCAATGATTTATTTCCTTCCTTGCCGTATATTCTTAAGGCATGTATAAATTATGGATTATAAACCTTAAATTCTACTAGACTGTGGTTGATGTAAAAGTTTTACTTATCTGTATTGTTTATGAATGCACAATGTG